GATGAATGTATATATATATATATATATATATATATATACATTCATCCATTATCTTTTACCTGCTTCTTCTTTTCAGGGCCGTAGAGGTCCCTGGTTCCCATATCCAGCAGTCAGTATGTGAGAGGGGCAGGGAACGCCCTGGACAGCTTGCACATGACATAAAACCAAACTACCATTCTCACTCATTCAGCACTACCAATCAGCCTAACATGCATGTTTTTAATTGGTGGGAGGAAACCAGAGCACCCTTAGAAAACACACAAACTCAACCTAGAAAAGTCTTTGGCAGGGATTCAATCCAGCAACCTTGTTGCTGAGAGGCGACATGACACTGTGCCAGTACCACCTCAATACATGTGGTGTGTAATTTATCTCTTCTTTTGACTTTTCTGTGTTTGTGCATTGGTGCAGTTTTATTTTCTGTATGTTCATGTGAAATTGTTGGATATGGAAATGGGATTTTTTGTCTCCATGAATTTGATTTTATTTTTGACATTTTATGGAGATTAACCAAATACCTGCTTATTTAAGAGGTGTAAGATGATTTATTCTTAAACATTGCTGTTTTAGGATATATAAAACAAGCTTCAAATCTTTTCCTTTTTGAAGACGTTTGTGGAGCTGTCTTAACTTAAAACTCAAAATGCAGAGTCCAAGCTTTAAAGCTGCAGTGCATTGCTTTGTTTGTGGCAGTTGAACTCACATGCAAATCAGACTCCTTCCTGAGGCTCGTCATTGTCTTGGTTCGGCATTTTGAAGCTTGAAACTCAGTTCAGTTGGACTTAAATAAGTTCCTCAGTTGATAAAAGAAAAGCCTATAAATCAAAACAAACATAAAAACAAGAAGTCCAGTAGCTTTTTCCAAAAAGACAAAATAAGACGAAAGAAAAGAAAAGCACTGCTATTGCACGTGCAAAACTGCAAACCAGATTTTTTTCATTTATGACTTTACACGAGCCTGTACCTTAGTGTCTGTCCAGAGGTTAAAGTTGCTGTGTTTTTGCTGATAGCATCACAAATGGTACATATGGGGTAATCTCACAACAAAGAATTATCTACATTTCTTACTTCAAGTCAGCAATCCAAGATAAACAAAAAGTGGACATTATGGTCATCGTACTATCATCACAGATATCATATTAACGGTAACATCCATTTAAGGGCCACAAAGACATGTTTGGCTGATCATTTGTTGGGGTTTACCTACAAACGGTTTGAGACTTACAGTAACACTCTGATGGTAATTTATTATTTATTAACCTTTATTTAACCAGCCAAGTCCCATTGAGATCACAGAGCTCTTTTGCAAGGGAGGCCTGGACCTGAAGGCAGACCAACATGCATGTTTTTGATCTGTGGGAGGAAACCGGAGTACCCGGAGAAAACCCACGCAAACACGAGAAGAACATGCAAACTCCACACAGAAAGACCCCAGATCCAACCGGGGGTTGAACCCAGGACCTTCTTGCTGTGAGACAACAGTGCTAACCACTGATCCATTGTGCGGCTGTCGGCTGAGTGACACCTAACAATGAGGCAATAAAGGTGTAAGGTGAATATGAACAAGACAGTTCATAATTATAGGCTATTACGTAGTCTATGATCTGCGATCCTTTATTCCTACGTCATAGAGAAAAACTCACATTCATGTTCATGTTCGTTTGTTCACTGGTGCACAATGATCAGAGTTTTTAAATGGATCCACAAGCTCGAGCACTTCTCGTATGCTAACATGTGCTGTTTGTAAACTGGTTATACAGGATAAGCTTATGTTAGTTCCTAGAGGATTAACGTGGAGTGATTACAAGGCAGCCAGTCACACTGGACTATCTGGGTGTGATTGGTTTTGCTGGAGATTCACACAAGAGTCTTCATCACCTGGAAGTATACTTCACTTGGAAAGACCCAAGAGCAAGAACCTGGAAAGGTACAACAAAGATAAAGGAACATATTACAAACTCAACAAACAGAGCATTCATTATTTTCCATCAGTAACTGTCACCATTGCATTGGTGGACCTTATTTGGAAGTGTTGCCATTTCTTTTTACATTTATTCATTGTGGAAAGTAACCTTTCAGAAACTTTTAGAAATTTAGTTTATTTTTCAGTAACAAACAAAGTCTGGAAACACAAACATTCAGTCATACTTAAAAATGTAATACTTTATTTTTCATAGAAAATAAAATTGCAGACATTTCCCTTCCAGCATATATTGGTAGTCGCACAATTTGATTTATTAATTGAGTTTATTCGTCTAGTAAAAATAGGATGTGCAACACTGATTTCTGCTGTGGTCAAAATGATTCAAATGACTGAAATAGGGTAAGAAACATGAAGCAAAACCAGTATACCAGTATGATATTATTGAACATACAACAGTAGCTCCACCTGAGCACCATCAAACTGGTTGACCCACTATGTGAAGGTGATATTTATAAGACTGAGTTTGTTGCAGCTCCTCAGACTGATGAAGTCTTTTGGATGAAAGAAGAAACCGTCCAGGGGACCTGACTTTACTTTGTTGGATTTTTCTACCTGGATTATTGAGCATGAACTTTGATGAACATTCATTCAACTTTATTTAGTCAGGTAAATCTAAACGATGTGTAACAACAATTGATGTTCAAATCAGTTTATTTCTACAGCGCAGAGTCACAACAGAAGTCATCTCAGGCACTGAACAGAAACATTCACTTACATAAAAAGTAAGTTATAACATCTGAGGATCCAGCTGTAATAATCTGTCAGATGGGGCAATTTTAGAAATGTCAGCATGTGTCATGATCCCCATCCCAACCAGATTGTTTAAAGGGGTATTTCCCCTAATTAACATCTACATGCTGGATCTTCTTACTGGGACGGTGGTTTTTCCTGTGTTTTTGCAGCAAAGTGCCCGCACGCTGCACTCGGAGGCTCCTCCTAATGTTTGTCACGTGACGTCCACTGAGTGGAGCACTTTTCCTGTGGGGGCGGAGCCTGCTGGGAGGGCCTGCCCCTGCGCTTCTTAATACAGATGCGCTCCTCCGCGCGCCCTGCGTTCAGCGGCGAGCGGACACGGTCAGAGCGGGGAGATCCACGGCACCATGACGGCTCCAAGCAACACCTACGACGTGATAGTGGTCGGAGCGGGCATTTCAGGTAGGAGACATGATGAATCTAAAGTGGCGAGAAACAGGAGCCAAAGCGCACGGGGGGGGGTGATGCGCGTTCAGAGGTGACCGCACAACTGTTGCACTTGAGCCGCTGCTGCTGCAGTCAAATGTTTCCAGACACGTCTCTCTTCCGTGTGGCTGCCTCCTCTTCCTCTGCACCGCTGCATTGTCACTGCAGGTTCAAGAACTGAGCTAATCAGCCAACACATACTTTGGATTACATAAGGGGGGGGGGGGGGGGGGGGGTGTCTGGGTGGTTGAGGCTGCATCTGGGGGCTTCTTGTTTGCACTTCAGTCAGATGGAGCCTGGCGGCGATGCTGAGGAGGATTGTGTGATGTGAGGGTGAGAAACTGCAGATCAGCTTTAAAGCTTGGCTGCACTTTGTCTCATAAAGAACATGAAGGAAGAGGTGCTGAAGGAAGATTTGGAAGCAAACTGGAATGGGCCTGTTTTTAAACAGATAGTTTCATTGAGGCAGTTTTTTTTTTCTGTTTGGCTGTTTAATTTATTTTATTTTATTTATTTATTGCAGCTGATTAACGTTTAGAACAAGAGTCCTCAAACTTTTTTTTTTTTTTTTAAATCTTCATACCCCCAAATAAAAACACTTGAGAATGCAAACACAGTTGGTGGAACCACACTAAATGAACAGGTATTGACATAATGACAACACAAAATCAACCCCAATGAAAAATGACGGGACATTGTGTGAAAGATTAAAAAAAAAAGTCCAATAATTTGCTAATCTCATGAACTTTTATGTTATTCACAATGAAACACAGTAAATACAGTAGTCCCTCATTAACTGCTCGTGTTAGGGTCCAGACGCCCCCCCACCCCGCAATAAGTGAAAATCCGCAAAGTAGCAATATTATATTCATTTTAGTATTTATATATATTTTAAAGCTTTAGAAACTCTCCCTACACTCTTGCAATGTTCTAAACTCTTAAACCTACGTCATTTTAACAACATAGTACTAAATTTTACTCACCAGCTCAAGTAGGTGTCTCTGCAGACAAAAATGGAAGGCGTATCTGGAGGGCCACATCTGATTGGACGATAAACCAATGGGCGTATCTGGAGGGCCACATCTGATTGGACGAAATAAAAAAAGGTGTTTGTGTTAACCACAGATATATTATGTCTACGGTGTTAACCTGTTCGACATTAGCAGTGTCCCTGGCTCAAAACTGAACCTGCTCTTTTCGCCTCTCTTGATACAGAACTTCCGGTTACATTTCAAAATAAGAGCAACATAAATGGGGATCGGGGAGGGCTAGATGTTTGTTTTTTAATACCTAGCCATGACATTAAAAAACAAAATCAGTTTTGGTTGTTCGATAATGTGAAAATAGTTACAATCGATTCATAAAGAAAGAAAATCCATCCATCCATCCATTTTCTTTACCCGTTTATTCCATTTTGGGTCACGGGGGTCGCCAGTGCCCATGTCCAGCAATCACTGTGCGAGGGGCGGGGGACACTCTGGACGGGTCGCAAGTCCATCACAGGGCCACATAGAGACAAACGAGACAAACAACCATTCACTCTCTCACTCACACCTAGGGACAATTTAGAGTTACCAATCAGCCTAACATGAATGTTTTTGGTCTGTGGGAGGAAACCGGAGCACCCGGAGAAAACCCACGCATGCACGGAGAGAACATGCAAACTCCACCCAGAAAGGCCCCCGGACCGGGATTTGAACCAGGGACCTGCTCGCTGAGAGGCAGCAGCTCTACCAGTTGCGCCACGGTGCTGCCCAAGAAAGAAAATAAAGAAGCCAAAATAATAAACTTAGGGATGCACTGATCCACTTTTTTTTTTTACTTCTGATCCGATCCCGATACTTAAATCTAAATATCGGCTGATACCGATCCAGTTCTGATATCATGATCATCATTGATTTTATATGAGGCTGCAATAATCTCCTCTCAAGTACAGTTTGTACAAATATATGCATGCATGTCCAAAAAGGCAACTTGAGGTAAATTTTATTAATGTTGGATAAGTTTTAAAGTTTGAATTAAATTCTAACACAAAACATGTTTGTTTTTATTCCTAGCTTTAAAGTGGATATTAAAGTGATTAATTTAAGTGATTGTTTAAAGTTATTATATATATA